TTTATCCTTTTCTTTTCTTATAGGAAGAAAACTCATTCTTAGTAAACCTGTCATTTCTCTACCTTACATGTGTTTGACTTTTCAATCATAAATGTTCTGGCAGATGGATATTGACTCATAAAATGATTGCATAGTCACATGAGAAAATTTAGGGTTACTTCTTGAAGGGAGTTGAAGAAGTACTGAATATAACCCCATACAGGTTGTAAAGAATCAAGAAGTCACTGTGTATATTACTAACTAGCTATGGAGATGTTGTAATAATACTACTAATATTAATAATAATAATGGTAGCTGGCAATTTTTAAGCCTGTGAGATAAGAGCAACAATAACATTTATCACTCACTTACTTTGTTCTAGAGTTGGTGCTGATTGCTTTGCTCACATTACCTAATATGTCTTGACTAAGCCACCCCCAAATGACACCACAATCTTACATTATTTGGCACCTCAGGATTCCAGCTTGCAAAGTCAAGCTTTAACTCAATTCTGTACCTTTGTACCAACAGTTCTCAAAGATTTAACTTCAAAACCCTTTTACACACCCAAAAATTAAGTTTTCAAGAGTTTTTGTTTATATCTATTGATGTGTCTGTATTAGAAATTAAAATAGTGAAATTTAAACAGGTCATTATATGTTAATTAAATAACATTTTATGAAATACAGCTGAGTTTTACAAAACAAACAAAAAATTAGCAGGAATAGTGACATTATCATCTTTTTATTTTGTTTTTTCCAAATCTCTTCAACATCTGGCTTAATCAACGGCAGCTTGATTCTCTTATCTGCTTCAGCTTTCATTCTGCTGCGATTTGTCTTGGTTGAAGCACATGAAGGGAAACCAGCCTCGTATAGATATGTACATGGACAAAGGAAGATTATTTTAATAACCTTTCTATAAAAGCATGGATGTTCTTTTTTTTTTCCATTTATTTTTATTAGTTGGAGGCTAATGGATATTCTTTTTTAATACTACCCCAAACTCTACAAGTGGTAGTTTCAACTCAAAGGTTAGGTGTAGTGTGAAATCTGAAACCATGTCAATGAAACTATCCTACTCTGTACACCAGTAAGGGTAAGTGAATAGGCACTCTGAGACCTCGGGTATAAGTCTAGGAAAGTAAGAAGCAGCCCAACCAGCTTAAGACCATGAGTAGACTTATTTATGCCTTATTTACTTCAATAATTCTTTCAAGCCTGAGACAGGAAAGGGACCAATGATTATTTCCTCCCCATCCTGCCAACATATAGACTAGATGGACACAATGTCTCTAAAGTAATTGAGAGTTCTAGAGTTAAACAATCATAAAACTGTGGTCCTAAAGTTAAGTATGCTATTGTTTCCCTTGAGTAAATTGAAGGAAGAAATGAATATATTGAGATAGTGGATGCTTTCTTAGAGTGGCATGAAAAAGTATAACTAATCATACTCAAAGTCTTTAATACTAGCCAGTATTAATAGTGCTAAAATTGTTGAGAGTCCAGTCCTTTGCTAATTTTATATCTTGAAATAAAAATTCTCACCCTGAACATTCTTCTTGAAGGAAATTTCTATCTATTTTACTCAGGAGAACTTAGGTTCTGTTTTTAAAAAGGAAGAAAAAACACTTCAGCCACTGAGATCGCAAAGCCTTGTTTATTTGTGAATTATGAAATTGCATGCTTTGTCTTTTTATAAACTAAACACTTGCCTGAATAAGAAAAACATTTTTGCAGCATTTACTCTTTTCTCTTCTCTTTTATTAGTATGCTTCAATGGCGCTTCCATTTGCTTTGCTAGCAGTGAAATCTTTATTTCCACTTGAAGATATATGAGTCTTGTTTACCTTTAAACTTTCCACCTGTTAACTTGCATTATATTTTCATGACAGAAAGTGGTTACTAATAATATACATTGACTTTAATACAGCCTTTTTTCTTGAGGGTGGAAAGGGAAAATTTTTGTACTTGTGTATATCATTTTATTGAGAGAAATATCTTACATGTAAATAAATGTTTCCTAACTTTTTTTGTTGTTGTTTCAAGTAAGTTAAACGTTTTTTACAAGAAGTAGAATGGTTGTCACTGATTTTTCTGAATATAGTTAATTTTCATTTTAGGCCATCACGAGATCCACCCAAGGTTGTTTGTTCAGCTTTTCCTCTCCATTATGTGTAAGGGTATGGAGACAGGTAGAATAGAGTTATAGAAATTTCACAAACAATAAACCTAGAGCATTAGTTCCCCTACATTTTTTTCCTTAAACTAGTACCATGAGCATCAGAGCCAGAAATAAATCCATTTGAGTTATTCAGCAATGTGATACGTTTTGCAGTACTGATATCCTTTTGTTCCCTACCCAATACCAAGGTTTTATATGGCATATATTTTTAAAAAACTCAGTATTTCAAAAATATTTGATGGCATTCTAACACTTCATATAAAACATCCTCTCTGCATCTTTTTGCTCAGCGCTAAGAAAACAAATGTTGCAATATAGCTACTTTAAAAGAAAATCAAATTTATCAAACAACATTAGCAGAAATAATCCAGTGGGGAAAGACAAATAAGCAAACAAATCCCAGGAAATATGGGAACAGAGTCATTATGTTTTTGTTTTGTTTTGCTTTAAAACATCATTACAGATTTCAAGAAGTTAGAATTTTACATTTGAGCTCATGTTGTTAAGAAGAAAATAAAGCTTTACAGTTTATATGTGAGCACTAGTCTCGGGTGTTTACTGGTGCCAAACATATGGTGTTTTTCCAACACTGGTTTTCCAGCTCTGATTCTCTGACACCAATTCATGTCCTATTGTGACAGTCTCTGCTCAGAGTTAGCATCAGATTCCATAGGTTTAAGGGTTCAGTCCCACAAGACTGCCCTTACTTCAGATCCTGGTCCAAGTAACACGCCCTCCTTACCTGCACTTCCATCTGACTTGGTTACAAATTCCAGGGTACTCACAGCCACTCACTCCCACCCCTATTCAAGTTTGATAATTTGCTACAATAACTTACAAAACTCAGGAAAATGCATACTTACCACTGCAGTATAGGATAAAAGGTGAGAGTGAACAGCCGAATGAAGAGATACAGAGGGTGAAGTTAAAAGGGTCCTGAGTGCAGGAGCCTGTGTCCCTGTGGAGTTGGGGTGTGCCATCCTGCTAGCACATGGATATGTTCACCAGCGCAGAAGCTCTCCAGTCCCCATTGCCTAGGTCATCTTATGGAGGCTGTGTTACATTGGCATGATTGATTAAAGCCTTGGCCACTGGTGAGTTAACTCAGTCTCCAGCCCTCTCCCCCCTCTGGAGATGGTAAGAGGAGGGGAGAGGTTGAGAGTTCCAACCTTCTTATCACAGCCTGATCCTAAGCTCTCTAGGGGCCCACAACAGTCACCCCATTAGCAACAGGTATTTTCAAAAGGAGCTTGTTGTGAATAACAAAAGATGCTCCTATATACTCTTCAGTTCAGCCACTCAGTCGTGTCCCACTCTTTTCAACCCCATGACTGCTGCACCCCAGGCTTCCCTGTTCATCACCATCTCCCGGAGCTTGTTCAAACTCATGTCCATCAAATTGGTGATGCCATCCAACCATCTCATCCTCTGTCCTCCTCCTCCTCCTGCCCTCAATCTTTCCCAGCATCAGGGTTTTTTCGAGTCGGTTCTTCACATCAGGTGGCCAAAGTATTGGAGCTTCAGCTTCAGCATCAGTTCTTCCAATAAATATTCAGGACTGATTTCCTTTAGGATTGACTGATTTGATCTCTTTGCAGTCCAAGGGACTATTACTCTTACTATTCAGGAAATTCCAAAGATTTTAGAAACTAGGAACAAGGCCAAATATATTTTTTTATTATACCACACCTGGGTTTCCTCCAGGTAATAGAGAAGAGATTTTGGAGGTGTGGCAAGGAGAGATTTTTTTTTTTTTTTGCTTTTTATGCTGAACATTCTTGAATCTCTTAACACTGATTCAGCCACACCCACTGAATCAGTCATGCATTGCTGCCTACCATACAAGTGTCCCAAACTGCTGTGACTTAACACTACAGTCAGCTTACATTTTTGGAGGAATAAGCATCTGAGTGTAGCTCAACTGGGTGCCTCTAGCTCAGTGTCTCCCAGGAAGATGCAATCCAGCTGTCAGCCAGGGCTGTGATCTCATCTGAAGACTCTAATGGGATGGAGTACCTGCTCCCAAGTTCACACATATGGCCATTGGCCGACCTTGGTCCTCACCTTGGGGACCTGGCCGTAAGGCTACTCACAGCATGGCAGCTTGTTTTCTCCAAAGTAAATTGACTCAAGTGAGAGAGAACAGGAAAGAGCCCTCAAGACGGAAGCTACAGTCTTTTTATAACTTAGTCTCAGAAATGATATCCTATTGCTTCTTTCATATTCTGCTCATTAGATATGAGTCAGTAAATCCTGTGCACACTCAAGCAGAGGGGTTTTGCAAGGGAATTGAATACCAGCAAGTGGTATCACTGAGGCCCATCTTAAAGGCTGCTTACCACATCCACCCCAACATAATGGACCTGATTTGGCAAATGATAAGAAGCACAAGACAATAGATGAGAAAGAAAATTGTGAAGACATTTATCTGGTTTCTTTGTCACTTTTACTTTTCAGAGCTTCTCCAAAGTTTTGCTCAAAGTGTTGTCACTGATCAAAACCAATTCTAATTAATTTTATAGTTAGTTTCTGGATCTCAGCAAAAGCTATGTACAATCAAAGAAGTAAAATCCCAGTGGAGTCGCTCAGTCTTGTCTGACTCTGCGACCCCATGGACTATGCAGTCCATGAAATTCTCCAGGCCAGAATAGTAGAGTGGGTAGCCGTTCCTTTCTCCAGGGGATCTTCCCAACCCAGGGATAGAACCCAGGGATCGAACCCAGGTCTCCCACATTGCAGGCAGATTCTTTATCAGCTGAGCCACCGGGGACGAACAATAGTTCACATATTTACTGTCAAACATGTGGTGATCTCGTCTGTCCACTTTTTTTTAAAAGGGAGAACCAGGTTTCATTGGTCCTCAAGGAGAACCAGGCTTACCAGGCTTACCAGGAACAAAGGTAAGTGGAGTGTTTTCCCCTTCCTTTCTTTCTGAAAAATTTTTGTGACATATTTTTAGTCCATTTTGTTACTCAGGTGACCAGATAGTTTTGCCTAATAGAGAACTAAATCAGCTTTGCACCCATTCCCAACACTTCCAATAGAAATAGCATATTATTAAAATTAGAGTACTAGGAAATTAATTCCAGAAAGCCTTAGGCAAGGCAACAGGATGGTGGAATACATTCGTTGTTCCAGTTATCCCCCAGTTGCACCTAAATTGATGAGGTGCTGTTAGTCTTCTGGCTGTATGGAAAAGTGAGGCAATTCTGAGAAGGAGAGGTAGACCTCATTAACTCCAGCTCCTCAGTACCCATTTTAAGACATACTTACAAATCAAACATTATTACTATTCCCCCATCACTCCCTAGATTTCAAAGGCAAGTACTGATGTCATATAGATTCCTAGTGCTTCATCCTGAAAGGATCCATCCTGAAAAACGTCTGCAGAAAAATTCTGTAATGAAAACCATCTTGTGATCTTCCACATGGCAACCCAAGAGAGGGCCCTGAAAGCAAAATCTGTATGCCGCCATATAAAAAATTATGTTGCTGTGGATACAGTCAGAGCCATGGTTCCCTTTTTATCTACCGGAAAGACATAAAAAGGTACCGTTCTGAGGATGGAACTTTATTCATGACAGACTCATGAATCAAAGAAAGAGCAAAATTAGATCAAACTACATTCTTTTATTTTTAAACCATAGCAGTCTTCGCCTCAGTGTGTATTCCTTTCACCAGAAATAAGCCAGGATGATTTCCAAGAGCTCAAGAAATATGTTCCTGGTCTGCTCTGACAGAGGAGTCCTCATTTCCGCTGGTCAAGAGAAAATAACTCTAACCCTAGTAAATGGAAACTATGCGTGGCCTAGGGGAGACTGAAATCGATCGAATTTACGCAGAATTGCTCTTTTCTCAGCAAGTTCTTCTTCACATAATGAGCTGACAAGTTTATTAACAAAATATGAGGACTGCCTGCTTTAGCCTGAACAGATTTACACACAAAATGCACTTTCTGGCATAAAGAGAGCTAGATCAAGAGGATAACGGGCATCCGGTGCTCACGGCAGAACTGTTGTACGGCTTGCAGCCTCAGAGTCAGGCAGAGAAGAGGTGGCTTTGTGGATGAGTGCAAAGAAGTGGGAAACTTGCTCACTGCCAGAGAGGACCAGGCGTGAATGTGATCTCTAAGTGTTTGTGGCATTTTGTTTGCAAAACAAGGAAAAATAGAAGAAACACAGACAGACCCCTGGAGAGTAGACTTCATCCCTAAATATCCTTTCTTTTGTTCATTTGTTTTAAACTGTTCCATAGTCAAAAAAATTCCAGATGGAGAGCTATAAAGTCAACATTAATTACTGTTCATGAAGAACCTGGGCTGATTTTACAGATCCCATACTTTTATAACAAATATTACTTTGCACTCCCAATAAAAGTAAAGACTGTACTGTAATTGCTTTATAGTTCCACAAGAAAGGATGTGAATAAGAAATTCATTTAAGAATATTTTGAAGTTAATTTTTGGCTAAATTGCCTAACATGAAATTGGTATCATAATGGAAAAATCATGATTATTTAAAAATCTCTTTCAGCCAAATACTAGTCTTTTTCCAGTTGTGTAGAGAGCCTGGATTTGTACCAATAAATTCAGATTTTAAAAAAAAACTAACAGTGCATATTTTATCCCCAACACAGTGAAGAGAGAGCATAATGAAGAAGATGTATAATGGTATCTAAAAACCTGTTTTATGTGCTGCTGTATTCTTAGCATCTGTATCAGTGCCTGCAAGAAAACTACATCAGTCTAAAGAAATAGGACTTTATCATGAATAATTTAGAAAACTTTGAATAATATTGTTTATTCATTAATTCAACACATTTTTTTGCCAGACATTTTTCTACTATTTGAGAATGGAGATTAAATGAAAGAAAAATAGTTTCTGTTGAAGCTTACACTGCAATATGTGTGAGAAAGGGATGCAAGGAAAAAAAAACATGTAATTCCATGTAATTCCAGAGAATAATAAGCAATTAATTAAGGGCATGATGTTAATAAGTGATTCTAGGTAAACATATATAGACTTTATATACTATAGAGAAATTATTTTCTAAGATTTTTGCTCTTCCCTAAAATAAGATTATAGTTACCATTTTAGAATTCATCTGTAATATATTAGGCAGATAACCAAGCATTTATATATGTAAATTCTATATACCAGTAGAAGCACTTCAGTTTCTAATCCCTGGAAAATTCCTTCTGTAGCATCTTTTCCATCTCCTACATCCAGTCAAGTCCCTTGTTCTTCTTCCAGCCTCTCCATTTTCCTACTTCCTTTTGGTTCATACTGAGAAATTTACTGAGTCTTCCATAGTCCTGGCCCTAATCTATCCCACCTCCCCTGCAAAACCACAAAGTCTTCCCAAAGGGGGCATGATACAGATAAAGATCTTGGGATTCAAAGCCCTCCATCACCCATAACAGATCCAACCCTATTTTCTTTTCCTTTCCAAGATGAATCCATCCTTTAGTGAGGAGGGTGCATCCCTCATCCGTAAACATGCCATCACCAGAAGTCAAAACTTGTTTGATTATTGAAATTCTACCCATCACATAGGAAGCCAAATACTCTCAACTCTGTGTTCAGACAGTGAAACATAACCATCTTCCTAGAGCTTGATTTGGCAACATTTTAAAATGTTTTTATTTTTGACACAGACATTTCCCCACTAGGAATTTATCCTAAGAAAATGACCAGAGGTGTGTAAAATATTTACACACCAAAACATCTATGCAAAAATTGAAGATTGAGTACAATCCATTCTAAATTACAGCTCTCCCATATTAAAGGCTTTGGGAAAATTACTTAACCTTTCTGAGCTTCAGTTTCCTCATCTGTAGACTGTGGATACTAACACCTTTCTCATTTGTCTTGAGAACTCAATAGGATAATGCATGTAAAGTGTTGTGTGCAGTCATCAAAAGCACAGTCATAGCAATAATTGTAAAATGTACCCTACCCATCCTTCAGTACTTGACCCAGGTCTCAGCCAAAAGAAGTCAGTCCGGTTGAAAACCCTGTGGAGTTTCTTCTTCTCTCACATATGACTTTACATTATTCCTTAACTCTAAACTATTTTGTTCATGTGGATCTTATCTTACTAGAGCACTGGCCCCTGAGAGCAGTGACCATGATCATCCTTCCCAGCTCTATAAATATAGCAAAAACTGTAATACCTAAATGTCTCATTCTGTGACAAGGACTTTTTAAGTTGTGAAACCAGTACTATAATTTTCTCCAGTTTGTAGGGGAAACTGAGGCTTTCAGAACTTAACTAATTTCCCCCAAAATGCACACCTGGTAAGTAACAGAGCCAGGATTAAAGGAGAGAATGTCAAATTACAAAACCTGGTACTTAGTCATTTTGCCATGCTTCTTCCTAGTAGATCTTAAAAAGTCACTGCTGAATGAAGACTATGTTAGTGCCTATGGCGAGGCTTAATGATGGCCCTTATCAATTCCCTTTAAAGGTCTTTGTATTTACCAACGTAGGTGTCTGACAGGCATCTACCAAACCATTTCCTCGTCTGTAAAAATGTGGACGAAAATGCAAGCACTATATAGTTGTTTTGATTTTTAAATGAGATGGTCCATGTTGAGGTTAATACAATGCTAGTTCAGTTCAGTTCAGTCGTTCAGTCTTGTCCGACTCTTTGCAACCCCATCAATCGCAGCACGCCAGGCCTCCCGGTCCATCACAAACTCCCGGAGTTTACTCAAACTCATGTCCATCGAGTTGGTGATGCCATCCAGCCATCCCATCCTCTGTCGTCCCCTTCTCCTCCTGGCCCCAACCCCTCCCAGCATCAGGGTCTTTTCCAATCAGTCAGCACTTCGCATGAGGTGGCCAAAGTATTGGAGTTTCAGCTTCAGCATCAGTCCTTCTGATGAACACCCAGTACTGATCTCCTTTAGGATGGACTGGTTGGATCTCCTTGCAGTCCAAGGGACTCTCAAGAGTCTTCTCCAACACCACAGTTCAAAAGCATCAATTCTTTGGCACTCAGCTTTCTTCACAGTCC